GTTGATCTCGTGCTTATTATTTTATGCTTTGTCGATCATTTATGGTTTTTGCACGAATATGTGAATGAGGGGGTTTGACTCGAGTGACCATTTGTGAATGACTTGGGACGAGTTTTTGTTTCGTTTGATTCATTATGTGGGGACCGTGTCTCGGATTGGATTTCGATTTTGGGATAACCGAATGATAATGAGAGTTTCATTTTGCATGTTCGTTAATCTTGGACCGTTCGGTATATCTCTTCGAGCTATTTGTTATTTTGTTTGCTTGAGGACAAGCAAAAAGCTAAGTATGGGGGAGTTGTTTGTTATGTTTTTGTGCTTATTTTTATGTGTTTATATGTGATATTGAGTCATTTTTAAGTTCGTTTTAGTGTCGTCCGGTCCATTTTGTCGTTTTCCGTATGTTTTCGTGTCTTTCATTTTATTTTATATTTTGCGTACTTTTCCGTGTTTTTGGGCTTAACTTTCAGGTTTGTTCCGAGGTCGAAAAGAATTTCCGAGACGAGCTTTCAAAAGTCAATTCCGAGTACTTGGAGCCATTTCGGACGAACCATTTCTAGTCGAGTATTTCCAGTCCATAGGCGTATCGGACGTGCCTTGACCTACCCAATGCTCGCGGCCATACACACTGCCCGCACGACCGCGCATGCACGCCACGCCTCGCACACACACTTGCCCAGCTCGCGTGCTCGCGGAAACTCTCGCGAGGTCGAGAGTCCACGCCCTCCAACACGCCCACACAGCCACGCCCACGCGGATCTCCTCGCGAGGTCGAGAGTCCCGTCGCCCACGCACGCCGCTCGCCACAACTCGCGCACTCGCGGAAAGCAGCGCGAGGTCGAGAGTCCGCGCCCGCACACAGCCTGCCAACGTCCGCGACCTCGCGGATTCCTCCACGCCATCGAGAGTATCGTAGCCCAGCACACCCATGCGCATCATTGCCCGCGTGGTCGCGATTCTTTCCGCGTGGTCGAGAGTGCCCCGCAGCACACGCCCGCGAACTCGCCCTTGTTCCCGCGCCATAGAGAGTGTGTCAATCGTCACCTGCGAGCTCGTGAATTTTCCGGCGTGATCGAGAGTGTCCCATTTTAATGTGCGTGTTTTAGTGTGTGTTTGGGCTAAACTATAAATATATTTTGTCCTTTGCATTTTTGGAATCCAACTCTCATTTTTCATTTTTTCCACTTTGGGAAATCAACTTTTATTTTATTTTGCTCTCTAGATTAGGAGCTTATGCTATTTTCCGGGAGATTTTCCGGCGACTTCGGTTTCGTTCAAGTTTCGAGCTTTTGACTCCGTTTTTCATCGTCTACGCAATGGGAGATTGAGTATTTAATTTTAAAGCTCTTTACTTCGTTTTTGCTCCAGTTTTACTTATAATTTTCATTAGAGTAAATTGGATTTAATTGATGATGGTGGAAATGCTTGAACTTGATTGCTTGCTTGAGTAGATAGAGCCGTTAATTACTTGTTGATCTCGGTTAGACGACTAGGGTTAGCAATCTAATGCTTGTAGCTCGTTAATTCCGTGTGTCGATTGATTATCATCCCGTATTGGTTATGGCATGAGACTCCGGTGATCTAGTTTGCGAAATGCTCATCTTTTGATCTTGCTTTATATTAATTGCTCGTTTTTAAGTGTTCAAGTAGTGTTAATCAACCATCCAATCAATTGTTTAGAATGTTTAGGATTTTATTTTCGATTTTTGTGATTTGGACGATCATCTAGTAGACGAAGCTCCGAATAGCCTTCCTTCGAGGTCGACCCGAGTCGGGTAGCTCGGTTATCCCTTGCCCATCAAATCTATACCAAACAGCGTGGCCGCAGAGGACGTTTGGCATAGGCCCTGAAAATTAATTTGGCTCGAAAAATGACGTGAAAATATCAATCATGACACGTAAGAAATTTTACCCTGGTCGCTTGATTATTGGACCAAATATGATGAATTTTTCAACTTATTGCACTAAGTTTGATGTCTACCAAAATGTTGGATCTTTCCTGAAAAGTGGTCAATATAACAAACCAAAAATGAAATTTTGTTTGGACTAGCATTCGCCCAGTCATCGCAACCTGATAATTAATTGGCTTGAAAAATAACATGGAAAATATTAATCATAACACGTAGGCAAATTATCCTGATCGTCTGATTATTGGACTAAATATGATGAATTTTTCAACTTATTGTACTAATGTTGATGTCTGCCAAAATGTTGGATCTTTCGTGAAAAATGATCAATATAATGTACCAAAAATAAAATTTTACCTAATTTTAATTATGACATTCCTTTTTTTTTTTT